TGTCAAGCTAACGTTCCGGACATTGAAATTCCGGATCAGCCGGGCTGTGGTGGGTATGTGGGCCTGCGGGCCGCTCCAAGCAACAGCCTGGTGGACCAAACTCTCACAAGTCAAGCTTGGCCTCGTGCCGGGCTTGGGGAGTAGAAGAACTCCCAGAACCCCATCAACCAGGTATCAAGCTGATATCTGGTTCACGAATTATGGTTCTCCCAATAGGATATCTTCCCCCTGGAGGATATCAGAACAATTCAGGAACAAGGAGCGAATCCAAGTTAGAAATAACTTCTTCTATCCAGAGCATAACAGGGTGGATAAAGTCTGTTTTGGTTAAATCCATATAACCAATGCTGAGGATAGCACACTCCTAGGAGCTCCTTTTGCAGGGAATCCTGTCGACGGATTCGATTGACTTGAAGAGTATGGATGAGAGGATTGAAGACACTGATGCTCATGATGCACTTTTCCTCATCACCAGCTGCATGTCCCTCCCTAGGCTGACGTACGTTAAAAGATGTTCCTCATGCAATAGTCAAAATCCAGGTGTATACGACTGCTTACTAGGAAACGTTGTTAGATAAATCCACAGTGGAAACAAGCCTCCCTTCCTGTCAGACTCGGGGACCTTGGCGTTCGCACAGCAAAATCCTTATCCTGACCCCTTCCCCGTGTTATATAATCGTAATGGCTTGGTGCTTTCTCCTGATAATTATCTTGATTGCAAATTGCAAATTGAAATTAACGACATCATTATGAGAAGCCTTACCACAGCTGGGTGTCCAGCAGAGAGAGATCCCCGTTATCTTATGCCCCATACCTCTGATGTTCCTGTTGATTGCCCATTGTGATCATATGGTCACCGTCATCGACTTGGGGACACGATCAGCAGCTTGGTATTATTCAGTTGCCCCTAAAAAGAAAATGAATCTTGGTTAACGTCTGTTTTGTAACGCTCCAAAGTTGTGTTGTGTTTTGCCTTGTATACTGTATTGTTACCCTCACACACACACACACACACACACACACATACACACCCACACACACACACACACACACACACACACACACACACACACACACACACACACACACACACACACCCACACCCCCCCCCCCCCACACACACACACTAAACAATTCACTACCAACAAACTACTATTAACTAACCTCCATAACTACCACCAAGTCACCTTAGCAGTAACTAACATCACCACTAACGGAAGACGAGTAACCAAACAATCCATTATATAAAGCAAATTCCTTTAAAAAATTAATAATTCACACTAAATATATCCCAATATAATTCTGAGTATACCTCCCAGAGAGCATACTAGCATACAATGATCATCATTTACTGTTGAATTAATAATGTCATAATACGGCAGGTAATTCATTATTTTTTATTAATTACCTGAGGCACTAATTAGTCACCATCCACAGGTGAGATGTAATCAGTTATAAAGTGACCAGGTAAATGTACCTGTTAAATGATCTATTTACACTACCGGGGACAGGTTGCCAGCGGCTAGGTATGAGGTCAAGGCTTAGTGCGTAGAGGTCAACTCTTAGTGTGTTGAGGTCAACTCTTAGTGCGTAGAGGTCAACTCTTAGTGTGTTGAGGTCAACTCTTAGTGCGTAGAGGTCAACTCTTAGTGCGTAGAGGTCAACTCTTAGTGTGTAGAGGTCAACTCTTAGTGCGTAGAGGTCTTACTGTTATGTACAAGGCCAAGATTCTCAAAGTTCCGCACTTGGTCCAACTCCGTGGACAACCAGTAGTTGGCACCTGGCACAAGGCTCTTAACAGTCTCATGCTGGAACTTCTTGACTCAGGAACATGACTCCATCAGCAATCATTCCCAGGCTGACTCGCATCTCGAACTAGTTCGTTCAAGAGGTTGACACATGGGAGACCAATTACATCAAGGCTCTCTCACACACCTGGCTACTGTGATGCAAACAACATTACCAGGGAATATATGTCTCTAGGACAGATTTTAGACGGGGGAGGGGAGAGAGAGAGAGAGAGAGAGAGAGAGAGAGAGAGAGAGAGAGAGAGAGAGAGAGAGAGAGAGAGAGAGAGAGAGAGAGAGAGAGAGAGAGAGAGAGAGAGAGAGAGGGGGGTGTCCCATACACAAAATGGCGGCAAGGGTTGGCGTGGAGGCGTCTCTACCTTCCCTACGACCCTCCCTAGAGAGACAGGGTCTTCCCTACCTAATGACCTTGACGTTAATATATATATATATATATATATATATATATATATATATATATATATATATATATATATATATATATATATATATATATATATATATATATATATATGCGGAAAATCCACAGAGAAATATGAAATGAGGTGAACGTTTCGGCTTTGTTAAAGCCTTTGTCAACACCAGACTGACTCTTGACTGACTTGTTCAGTCAGTCTGGTGTTGACAAAGGCTTTAACAAAGCCGAAACGTTCACCTCATTTCATATTTCTCTGTGGATTTTCCGCATAAAATGATCAGTGTTTTGTGATCGTCAATTGCATATATATATATATATATATATATATATATATATATATATATATATATATATATATATATATATATATATATATATATATATATATATATATAGGGGTACCACCTCTGGTGCAAGTGTAGGGACCCATACCCTCGGAGAAGAAAATAAAGAGTACTCAGAGAAGACCTTGTGGATCCTCACTGAACACTTTGATATTTTCTTCTCCTACCACCCCTATTCTTTTGTTAAGTGTGTATATTTATCTAACTTTATTTGAAAATGTCATTACACAAAAAAAGTTACAATATTGATTACATGCAGGGTACAAGGCTGCTTGTCACAAGTTGAACAGCTCCTCTAGCTCCTCAGATGGCGGGCAGGAACCGTGGATGCAGTGAGCATTTCCTCTCTGGATGGCCACACTAAGGCGCTGAAAAAGAAAACTGGCAGCTCCAGGGTCTCTAGTTGTTTCGATTAGCTTATACCCCAACTCCTTCAAAAAGCTAGCAGCACTTTTACCCCAGGCACCAAGTGTCTCTGAGGCAATGGGGACAAAATTGTAGTGGTGCTCAAGGTCTCTGTATTTACGTGACTTGGCCGCTTCCCGGTGATTGGCAGCTCCTCCTGCTTGTGTAGCACTGAAGTCAACATAGGTGTTGGCTAAAGTTAAAACGCAAGTGTAGTCCCACATCAACTGTCTACCATTCTTCCAGGGGTTCACCGTAATTCCGTCTGGGCGACCGACAGGCTCATCAGAGTTGCGGGACATTAGGTAACGGGGCTCTCTCTCTGCTGGACAACCGGCTGTGGTAAGGCTTCTCTTAATAATGTCATTAACCTCGCCGTGTCTTGCATGCCATCCTCCCGTCCTTTGGCAAAGAAGGCCATGCCGTCCATATCTGTCGGCCTCTGCCTCGCCGCAAATACACCTGTATTCGGTGTGGATTGGGGCAGCGAGGCGGAGAGCCACGGCAATTCGGAGGGCCTGCGGTGTGAGACGGGTGCCGGTTGCTGACATTGGGGTTGCTAATAGGAAATCACCTGCATGGGGAGCTGCTACAGCTCTAAGTCGGGCAGTGTCATGTGGTGTCGTCGCAGCTTCTAGTAAAGTCGCAGCTTCTTGGTCGGCAATGGGGCCATCCCAGCTGGATTGCATATGGGCTTCAGAAGGCGGTGGTTGGGGTGCTGGTTCTGCGAGAGAGACCAATTTGGTTGTGCAGTCTGTGAAGCTGGGATCATGTACCCCAGCCTGTTGAACTAGGTGAATAGGGCTCTATATATATATATATATATATATATATATATATATATATATATATATATATATATATATATATACACACATATGATTCTCTCTACCATCTTCAAGACGTAAAATTTGTCTTCTAATCCCTTCCAGAAGGCCCCTTACCCCCCCCCCCCTCTCCTAAACGAGCGAAAGCAGAACCAGGCTGGAAAGTGGAGCTGGTTGGGCCACCATGGGAATCCCCCCCCCAACACCCCCCCATCCCCAAACACCCCCATAACCCCCCCCCCCCCACCCCCACCTGGGTATCTGCGCAATAGAATTCACATATATTCACGCCCACTCCCCCCCCCACGAATGGCTTGAGGATTGTTAAGCCTGTGGCTAGAGGATAGTTCTCTGGCTGTGATATAGTTACGACTAGGGTAAGAATAGGCCTCTGGTTAGGGTAAGAATAGGCCTCTGGTTAGGGTAAGAATAGGGCTCTGGCTAGAGTAAGAATAGGGCTCTGGCTAGAGTAAGAATAGGGCTCTGGCTAGAGTAAGAATAGGGCTCTGGCTAGAGTAAGAATAGGGCTCTGGCTAGAGTAAGAATAGGCCTCTGGCTAGGGCAAAAATAGGCCTCTGGCTAGAGGATAGTTAGGGGCTGTGGGTTGGGAACGGTTCCAGGTTCGATTCCTGATTAGGACAAGATTTCTCAACACGTTTCCTTTCACCTCATGCAGCTGTTCATCCTGTAGAAAAGAAATTACCCGGAGTTACGTATCTGTTGTGGGTTGCTTGCTGACAAGGGTCAGTGGGTGACCTCTGGGGGGTGGGGCAAGCTCCCTCCCATTGGCTGCTGGAGCACTAGAGTCTAACTACCTAAGCAAACTGCCAATTTACCACTAATAACCTTCAAGAGTAACTGCGTCCATTGCAAGTCAAATGTAGTTATAATCAGAGCAATTTGCTAAGATAATCACCCCTATGCACAGACGCCGGAAGGGAAGATTGGCATCTTTCTTGTCTAAATCTTATATCCTTTTATCTCTCACTATCTTACTAGGACCAGATTCACGAAGCACTTACGCAAGCACTTAAGAACGTGTACATCTTTCCTCAATGTTTGACGGCTTTGGTTACATTTATTAAACAGTTTACAAGCATGAAAACTTGCCAATCAACTGTTGTTATTGTTATAAACAGCCTCCTGGTGCTTCCGAGCTCATTAACTGTTTAATAATTGTAAACAAAGCCGCCAAAGATTGAGAAAAGATGTACAGGTTCGTCAGTGCTTGTGTAACTGCTTCGTGACTCTGGCCCCCTTAGAGTCACGTGGTATGTGGACCTTAACTCTCCGCCATCTTGGACTAGTCATCAGTGACTCTGCAACACTTTGCAACCCGAGACCAAGCACTCTTGCACAGTGTGAAGCAACTTGATGGGAAACAGTAACTTGAGGGGAAACAGTAACTTGAGGGGAAACAGTAACTTGAGGGGAAACAGTAACTTGAGGGGAAACAGCAACTTGAGGGGAAACAGTAACTTGAGGGGAAACAGTAACTTGAGGGGAAACAGCAACTTGAGGGGAAACAGTAACTTGAGGGGAAACAGTAACTTGAGGGGAAACAACAACTTGAGGGGAAACAGTAACTTGAGGGGAAACAGCAACTTGAAGGGAAACAGTAACTTGAGGGGAAACAACAACTTGAGGGGAAACAACAACTTGAGGGGAAACAGCAACTTGAGGGGAAACAACTTGAGGGGAAACAGCAACTTGGGGGGAAACAGTATCTTGAGGGGAAACAGCAACTTGAGGGGAAACAGTATCTTGAGGGGAAACAACTTGAGGGGAAACAGTAACTTGAGGGGAAACAGTAACTTGAGGGGAAACAGCAACTTGAGGGGAAACACAGATTCATTCATGCCCAACACCTTGGAAGTCAAGCAACACTTACACCCAACACACACCCTCAGGATTCAACACGTATAAGCGTATCTACCTGCGAAACCTTTACATCTTCCTTCAATTAGGCTAATTTTTTTTTAATATTTAAAAGTTTCTAAGATCCTTTATAACACTTAATAACCTCGGGTTGTAAAGTTTCCAACCTTATAAACTGTTTAATATATGTAAACAAAGCTGCCATGATTGTGGAAAGATAAACAGGTTTCGTAAGAGGTTGTGTAAATGGTTGAGTGAATGGATTTAACCAGGCAATTACAACAAGGTACACAACATCACAAACCATTACCGCTATCAACTGTCTCAACTATGTTATCTTGAGATGCTATCATGAGATGATTTCGGGGCCTAGCGTCCCTGCGGCCCGGTCCTCGACCAGGCCTCCTATTTGTGTTACATATCCCTAGGAAGCAGCCCGGGGCAGCTGTCTAACTCCCAGGTACCTATTTACTGGTAGGTGAAGTAAAATAAGTAAAACTTTACTTACCCTTAGTAAAATCATGTTTTACTAAGGGTAAATCATGTTTTACTAAGGGTAAATCATGTTTTACTAAGGGTAAATCATGTTTTACTAAGGGTAAATCATGTTTTACTAAGGGTAAATCATGTTTTACTAAGGGTAAATCATGTTTTTACTGTTAAACCCAACCTAACAAACTTCCTTTATTAACGAGCTAAACAACTGTTCAGTTGTTCAGAGTGACACAAAGAAGCCTCTAAATTACCTCCTCACACTAATGTTCCTCTCATCGTTATTAAAAACTGCTTTATTTAAACAATCACAATCCTTGCCACTATCAACCGCCTCAAATATGAGGGAAATGAATAGGCCTTCTGCAGTTTGATGAGTAGGTTGATGAGTGCATATATTGATGAGTGTGGATGAGTGTAAACAGGAGCTGCCTCGCAACGGCCAATAGGCCTACTGCTGTTCCTGTTATTAAGAGTAAAAACAAACTTATTAAAAAAACTGAAGACCTAGAGTGAGAGAACCTTTGGAACATAATTTTGATTCGCGAATTCCGTGTTTGACTCTTGAAATACTCTTTGGAAAACACTTGTGTATCTGATATATATGTGTAATCGCTTTCTGGAACTATATTTAATCCTCAGGTGTTCCAAATATTCAGTTTTTTTTGCTCCTGGATCACGATACAATCGAAGAGAAGGTGAATTACCATGTGAAAGTACCATTATGACTATGGAACAATGTGTTGCTGGTGGAGCTCCTGGAACACTGTCTGGAACTATGGTGTTCCATGAAGTGTTCTGCTCATGGAATACAACCCCCAGTGATCTCAATGCATGTTGAAGACTGCAACAGATCTCTCAGTCACACATGAAGGGCCAATACTAACAAGCTGTTATCTAAGATCACATCATTCCAACGGATATCCAAAGGTGTTGTGACGAGTCGACATAGTTCACAGTGGAATGATATCCTTCTGTGCCGAGATCAGCCATCCAGCAGACATCAGCCATCCAGCAGACAACATCAGCCATCCAGCAGACAACATCAGCCATCCAGCAGACAACATCAGCCATCCAGCAGACAACATCAGCCATCCAGCAGACAACATCACCCATCCAGCAGACAACATCACCCATCCAGCAGACAACATCACCCATCCAGCAGACATCACCCATCCAGCAGACAACATCAGCCATCCAGCAGACAACATCAGCCATCCAGCAGACAACATCACCCATCCAGCAGACAACATCACCCATCCAGCAGACAACATCAGCCATCCAGCAGACAACATCACCCATCCAGCAGACAACATCACCCATCCAGCAGACAACATCACCCATCCAGCAGACAACATCAGCCATCCAGCAGACAACATCAGCCATCCAGCAGACAACATCAGCCATCCAGCAGACAACATCACCCATCCAGCAGACAACATCAGCCATCCAGCAGACAACATCACCCATCCAGCAGACAACATCAGCCATCCAGCAGACAACATCAGCCATCCAGCAGACAACATCAGCCATCCAGCAGACAACATCAGCCATCCAGCAGACAACATCAGCCATCCAGCAGACAACATCAGCCATCCAGCAGACAACATCACCCATCCAGCAGACAACATCACCCATCCAGCAGACAACATCAGCCATCCAGCAGACAACATCAGCCATCCAGCAGACAACATCACCCATCCAGCAGACAACATCAGCCATCCAGCAGACAACATCAGCCATCCAGCAGACAACATCAGCCATCCAGCAGACAACATCACCCATCCAGCAGACAACATCACCCATCCAGCAGACAACATCAGCCATCCAGCAGACAACATCAGCCATCCAGCAGACAACATCAGCCATCCAGCAGACAACATCAGCCATCCAGCAGACAACATCAGCCATCCAGCAGACAACATCAGCCATCCAGCAGACAACATCAGCCATCCAGCAGACAACATCAGCCATCCAGCAGACAACATCAGCCATCCAGCAGACAACATCACCCATCCAGCAGACAACATCACCCATCCAGCAGACAACATCACCCATCCAGCAGACAACATCACCCATCCAGCAGACAACATCAGCCATCCAGCAGACAACATCAGCCATCCAGCAGACAACATCAGTGCTATCAACAGCCAATCTTGCCTTTTCAACTTTGCCAGAAATATCAACTTAATTTTAAGGGAATACAACTTAGGACTGAGTGGTATACATACTGGTGTATGAGGTATACATACTGGTGTATGAGGTATACAGCATACTGGTGTATGAGGTATACATACTGGTGTATGAGGTATACATGATACTGGTGTATGAGGTATACATGATACTGGTGTATGAGGTATACATGATACTGGTGTATGAGGTATACAGGATACTGGTGTATGAGGTATACATACTGGTGTATGAGGTATACATACTGGTGTATGAGGTATACAGGATACTGGTGTATGAGGTATACATGATACTGGTGTATGAGGTATACAGGATACTGGTGTATGAGGTATAAATGATACTGGTGTATGAGGTATACAGGATACTGGTGTATGAGGTATACAGGATACTGGTGTATGAGGTATACATGATACTGGTGTATGAGGTATACATGATACTGGTGTATGAGGTATACATGATACTGGTGTATGAGGTATACAGGATACTGGTGTATGAGGTATACATACTGGTGTATGAGGTATACATACTGGTGTATGAGGTATACATACTGGTGTATGAGGTATACATACTGGTGTATGAGGTATACAGGATACTGGTGTATGAGGTATAAATGATACTGGTGTATGAGGTATACAGGATACTGGTGTATGAGGTATACAGGATACTGGTGTATGAGGTATACATGATACTGGTGTATGAGGTATACATGATACTGGTGTATGAGGTATACATGATACTGGTGTATGAGGTATACAGGATACTGGTGTATGAGGTATACATGATACTGGTGTATGAGGTATACATGATACTGGTGTATGAGGTATACAGGATACTGGTGTATGAGGTATACAGGATACTGGTGTATGAGGTATACAGGATACTGGTGTATGAGGTATACATGATACTGGTGTATGAGGTATACAGGATACTGGTGTATGAGGTATACATGATACTGGTGTATGAGGTATACATGATACTGGTGTATGAGGTATACAGGATACTGGTGTATGAGGTATACAGGATACTGGTGTATGAGGTATACATGATACTGGTGTATGAGGTATACAGGATACTGGTGTATGAGGTATACATGATACTGGTGTATGAGGTATACATGATACTGGTGTATGAGGTATACAGGATACTGGTGTATGAGGTATACATGATACTGGTGTATGAGGTATACATGATACTGGTGTATGAGGTATACAGGATACTGGTGTATGAGGTATACAGGATACTGGTGTATGAGGTATACAGGATACTGGTGTATGAGGTATACATGATACTGGTGTATGAGGTATACAGGATACTGGTGTATGAGGTATACATGATACTGGTGTATGAGGTATACATGATACTGGTGTATGAGGTATACAGGATACTGGTGTATGAGGTATACATGATACTGGTGTATGAGGTATACATGATACTGGTGTATGAGGTATACATGATACTGGTGTATGAGGTATACATGATACTGGTGTATGAGGTATACATGATACTGGTGTATGAGGTATACATGATACTGGTGTATGAGGTATACATGATACTGGTGTATGAGGTATACAGGATACTGGTGTATGAGGTATACTGGATACTGGTGTATGAGGTATACATGATACTGGTGTATGAGGTATACATGATACTGGTGTATGAGGTATACATGATACTGGTGTATGAGGTATACATGATACTGGTGTATGAGGTATACATGATACTGGTGTATGAGGTATACATGATACTGGTGTATGAGGTATACATGATACTGGTGTATGAGGTATACATGATACTGGTGTATGAGGTATACATGATACTGGTGTATGAGGTATACAGGATACTGGTGTATGAGGTATACATGATACTGGTGTATGAGGTATACATGATACTGGTGTATGAGGTATACATGATACTGGTGTATGAGGTATTCATGATACTGGTGTATGAGGTATACAGGATACTGGTGTATGAGGTATACAGGATACTGGTGTATGAGGTATACATGATACTGGTGTATGAGGTATACATGATACTGGTGTATGAGGTATACATGATACTGGTGTATGAGGTATACATGATACTGGTGTATGAGGTATACAGGATACTGGTGTATGAGGTATACATGATACTGGTGTATGAGGTATACAGGATACTGGTGTATGAGGTATACATGATACTGGTGTATGAGGTATACAGGATACTGGTGTATGAGGTATACATGATACTGGTGTATGAGGTATACAGGATACTGGTGTATGAGGTATACAGGATACTGGTGTATGAGGTATACAGGATACTGGTGTATGAGGTATACATGATACTGGTGTATGAGGTATACAGGATACTGGTGTATGAGGTATACATGATACTGGTGTATGAGGTATACAGGATACTGGTGTATGAGGTATACATGATACTGGTGTATGAGGTATACAGGATACTGGTGTATGAGGTATACAGGATACTGGTGTATGAGGTATACAGCATACTGGTGTATGAGGTATACAGGATACTGGTGTATGAGGTATACATGATACTGGTGTATGAGGTATACAGGATACTGGTGTATGAGGTATACAGGATACTGGTGTATGAGGTATACAGCATACTGGTGTATGAGGTATACAGGATACTGGTGTATGAGGTATACAGGATACTCGTGTATGAGGTATACATGATACTGGTGTATGAGGTATACAGGATACTGGTGTATGAGGTATACAGGATACTGGTGTATGAGGTATACATGATACTGGTGTATGAGGTATACAGCATACTGGTGTATGAGGTATACAGGATACTGGTGTATGAGGTATACAGCATACTGGTGTATGAGGTATACAGGATACTGGTGTATGAGGTATACAGGATACTGGTGTATGAGGTATACAGGATACTGGTGTATGAGGTATACAGGATACTGGTGTATGAGGTATACAGGATACTGGTGTATGAGGTATACAGGATACTGGTGTATGAGGTATACAGGATACTGGTGTATGAGGTATACAGGATACTGGTGTATGAGGTATACATGATACTGGTGTATGAGGTATACAGGATACTGGTGTATGAGGTATACAGGATACTGGTGTATGAGGTATACAGGATACTGGTGTATGAGGTATACAGGATACTGGTGTATGAGGTATACAGGATACTGGTGTATGAGGTATACAGGATACTGGTGTATGAGGTATACAGGATACTGGTGTATGAGGTATACAGGATACTGGTGTATGAGGTATACAGGATACTGGTGTATGAGGTATACAGGATACTGGTGTATGAGGTATACATGATACTGGTGTATGAGGTATACAGGATACTGGTGTATGAGGTATACAGGATACTGGTGTATGAGGTATACAGGATACTGGTGTATGAGGTATACATGATAGAATACAACAACTAGCCAACAGACAGAGTCACAGAGGAATACTTTGAATAATTAATTAATTTCTGTCAAAGAGATGTGACTTATTGACAAGAATTTCAAAACCTGTCAAAGCCAGGACCCTGCCACTTGTGCTACCTGTTCAAAGACTCATTTAGAGTTAGATTTAGAAGTTTTAATCGCAACTGATTGATACCAATAATTAGTTATGACTGGAGTGAACAGGTGAAATGCCATGAGGTCAATATATAACCTCATTACCATAAATTTGCCATATTGAGAGTATTGACCTCAGTAGCACGAGGTCACTAGGTGTAGCCTGGATCACACACAGCTCCTGTAACTCAGTCCTCGCTTCAACAGGATCAAAATCCTTGTCAAAATCTAATTTTGACGTAATTTTAAATTCTTGTCAAAGATATGAGTTCAGCAGGATCTAAATCAAGACCCAATTTGTCAAACAAGCCGGGTGATGTTAGTTATTTTCAAGTATTTCTTTCCAAATTGGTTTATTCCAATTAATATTATATTAAGAATCTGAATTACTGACTTAGTTAGGTTAGGCTAGATCAGAGGTAATTAAATTTATGTTGGCTTAAATTTAAATTAACAGAAAATTAAATCATGTATAATCTATGAAAAAGCTTTATCAATCCATGGAATAAAAACCGGTAAGATATATGTATATTATGTATATACTCGAATATGTATATTATGCATATACTGGCGCGGGCACTTAGCCTCTGAGTCACCTGCTGTATCCTTAACTACAGTAGTTCTTGACCAGTAAATGAGTCCTTACCACACCTGAGAGCTTAACTACAGGTGAACTAACCCACAAGGGCCGTGACGTGGATTCGAACTTACGTCCTAAAGCATCCCAGACTAATATTAACCACAGGTATATTAAATACTTGTGCAATCATCTCCGTTTGTAAAATCCAGAACTCTGATTGGCTGATGGTGTTTCATCTAAGGTCCCAGAGCTCAGGATTCTCATTCTTGCTGTTGGAGATAAACGAATGAGAATTAGTGATATAATTTTTCAACGATTCCTATTGGCTCATAGGACCGTGTTGTGAGGCCCATGAGGCTGGTGATCCACCAATGGCAGGTCTTCAGATGATATTTCCTGAAGTGTTAGTGGTCGATAACTGCAGTTAACAGGAATGTTTGGTATTTCTTGAAGAGGTATTTAGACATTTATTATGATGGTATGAGGAAATACAGACACACACACACACACACACACACACACACACACACACACACACACACACACACACACACACACACACAGCCATCTAGGAAGTGGTGTGGTGGAGGCTGACTCCATACACAGTTTCAAGTGTACATATGATAGAGCCCAATAGGCTCAGGAATCTGTACACCAGTTGATTGACGGTTGAGAGGCGGGCCCAAAGAGCCAAAGCTCAACCCCCGCAAGCACAAATAGGTGAGTACACACACACACACACACACACACACACACACACACACACACCCACACACACACACACACACACACACACACACCAAGTGACCAGGTTACAAAAAAGGAGAGGCCAGTATTCAGAAAATGATAAAGAAATCTGTGAGGACCTGAACACCAGCTTCCCTGGCGTGCTCACACTACTGAGCCAGAACTAGACACAGCAAAACGAGGCACAGATGTACACTAAGGACTCAAGTGAGTCATAGAGATGTCAGAA